TCTAAAGTGGCTCGTTAAGCGGTCAGCTTCTTAATTTTTGGGTTACATGATGCATCCCACTGGGCCTCCTTTAATATAACGTTGGAGAAAACAATGGTTGTGCCAAATGTTAAATGAGTATCAGCCTCTTTAATCATTATTTTTGTAGTTTTCCTCGCCGTCGGGTAGCTTTTTGTAATTAGCTGAACTGGGATTCCCTGCATCGCACCAAACAATATTTTTGACCAAATGAAGCCTTAAAGTGTCATGTTTATCGTTTACTATGTTTTCTTCTAGAATTGTTGGGAAACTGTTGGTAAATAACAGGCTGTTAGTGATCAAGTGACTCTGTTTAATGGACTGCACCGAGCAATTCATTAATTATCTTGGTTCCTCTTGCTTCGCGTCCTTCGATGCGTTCAACAGAGCATTAAAAGAATTCGAGGAGGTAGTTCACCTTTTTATAAAACCTTTTTGTCTAGATCACATGCACGCGGTACACTAAAAGAAGGTCAAAATGTTTTCCCGAAGAAGCCCTCGAGAGGAAGCTTTTCGTTTACAGAGCCGTAGAGTTTGCATGCTCACTTCGAGGAAACCCTGCATCTAGAACTGGTCAAAGGTTTAGTAGCTTGCCCTTTGATACTAAGATCTTAGAGCATGTGGGACCCTTTGCACGGCATGCTTCGCCATCCGTTACAGGCATGGCTCACTGCGCGTCGTGCGATACGATATGCTCCACAATCACGACAAATACCTTGGATGGATATTTGAAAAACAACCTAATCTAGATATCGACGGTTTGAGTAAGCTGTTTCTGTTTTTTTTTACGACGGCCGTTTAAGGTGAATCAACAAACGCCGCTGCTGATCTTTCGCACCAGTTCCTGCAAATTATGCATCCCATGCGCTTTTCCTCCTTTCATGAGCTGCAGGCTAAAATGGAGGAGTTTCAAAAGGTACTCCTCTCCTAATTTTTGATAAAAAAATTCTAGTATACGGGCAGCCTCTACGTCATGCGGAGCACCAAGCGCTTTCCTGACGACCACCCCGAGAGAAAAACCTTGGTCTATCGGTCACTTGTCTTTGAATGCTATCATTATGGAACTCGTAAAAGTTTGGCAAAACTCCGCCCAAACCAGCGGTACGTGGGAGCTTTTAATTTATAGTATTTGTGTTTAGGACAGCTAAGATTGGTTGTCGTTCGAGAATCAGTATTTACTGCAAGGACCACGAACTCACGGTCATGCGCTACGAAGTGCGACACAACCACGAAGTTACCCAGCAATCAGCTCGCCTATATCCAAAGAACCGACGTCTGGATAAGAGTCAAGAGCTGGCCGTTAGGGAATTGATGAAGTCTCATCCTGAAAATCACGTCATCAAAGACTACATTGAAGGTTAGCTTATCCTCGCTCTCCTTTATACGCTAATCTTGTTTTGTGTATAGACAACTTCAACATGTCAGTGACCCTGTATGATGTAAAAAACCTAAAACGGAGGTTCAAGACGCACCCCGAACCGCCTACTGAACTTACCCAGGAGGACATGTTTTTGCATATTAATCCCCAACTGCAACAACTGGAGCAGCTGGCTATGTCATCCAACAGTGATCGGTTCTGGGGCCGCATTGATGACATCGCAGCACTCGCAAGCAGATGGCGTAATGAAGACAATGGACTTACCGGCGTCATAGTTTCGTCGCCGGATCACTGTCCAGAAGTGGCCGCCTTCGAATGTGCTGAAGTGGACTCCTCTAGTTTACTGAATTCTGATGAAGAGACCACGTCTACCAGCGCCTACTTTAATAACCAAAGTGGGTCAGATGCGTATGTTGTGGGACAGGCCATTAACCGTAGAATGGCGCAGGTTGACACTGTTACCCACTGTCATAGGCATGATCGCCTTCCAAAAGTTTTAAAATACGAAACAACAGATTTTAAAAATCTGCATGGTACATGGGCCCTGTGTGAAGAGGACCACCGGTGAGTAAATATCTGGCTCTGAAATTCTACTGATCTTGTAAAGCTGTTGACCTTGTCCTTGACCCTTTGTCTGTACAGTGTTCCCTCATATAAATCTTCTATTTGTCTTCTTTTTTTTCAACACAATGGTAGCCCTTAATTTGCGCAGACGGCATTCAGGACTAACTGAGTGAACAGCCAAACAATCAATGTTTTGTTTTTTTTTCCTTTGAACTCCAGTCCTATAAGGAGCGATTTTGCCATAAACGTATACTAATTAAGAATATCTGATAAGCATACACAGCTTTCGATAAATTATCCTCAGATCATTAAATTTACTTAGGGAGGGAGTAAAAACTAACATGCTGGCACTAATATTCATCGTTACAGGCATATTAGTCATGGAACTAGGGGAGGGGGTGAAGTTGATAGTACTCGGCTGGTTGCGAGGCGATGAGGGTTTTTTGAATCTGGACAGGGGGAGGGTGCAAGGAGGAAGGAGAAAGCGCGGAAGGATGCAGGCAGTTATGTAACCGTTGGCCATGCCAAACTGTGGGCTTGCAGGAGGTTCTTTTGTGCGCACAAAACCTGCTTCCTCAACCGGATCGCGGTTGCTTCTGCCGTTGCTAGCAAACGCTGACCCAGGGACTTTGGATAGTTTGGCAGGACCTTATAAATTACCTTAAAAGCTTCACTGGGGTCCACACGATGCTAGAAGTCAGCCATGTGGGCAAGGATGGAGCTGTTGATGCTTCTGATTTCACCTTTGGCCAGTCATGCCGGGAGGCGCTCCCGTATTCTTTTGGATAAGCGTCGACTCGTGCAACCGATATAACCTGCTCCGCAGGAGCAAGGAAATGAGTAGATACACATAGAAGTGGTCTGAG